GGCGGCTGTCACTTCGGTGCTGGGCATGTACGCGAGTCCCTACAGCGCCCCCAACTACAGCGCCTTCCTGCCCTACACCGCCGACCTCAGCCTCTTCTCCCAGATGGTAAGTCTCGGGCGCTGCTTCCCCCCTCGTTTGCCCTTCGCACCTCGCCCTGCCTCCTGCCCTTTCGGGATGCCACGGGACCGACCTGCCGGGGGCCTTGGCCCCGCGTTTCTTCCGGGCGGTGGGGGAGAGCTGGGGTCGTGCCACACTACAGCGCCTTCCTGCCCTACACCGCCGACCTCAGCCTCTTCTCCCAGATGGTAAGTCTCGGGCGCTGCTTCCCCCCTCGTTTGCCCTTCGCACCTCGCCCTGCCTCCTGCCCTTTCGGGATGCCACGGGACCGACCTGCCGGGGGCCTTGGCCCCGCGTTTCTTCCGGGCGGTGGGGGAGAGCTGGGGTCGTGCCACGGAGATGGAGCCCGCTTAACACACTGCAGGCTGCAGCGAGAAGCCCCGACAAAACCCGTGGGGGTAACTTCCCGGGCTGCCTCAGTTAGACACTTTCTCCAGCTGCCTCTCCGCAGATCCCCAAAGGGGGCTGCTTGCAAGCGCTCTGGGCTGCTGCTGCGTGGGGGGGATGAGCTGACCGGAGACCCCAGCCGGCAGGGGAGAGGGGAGTCTGGTGTGGGAAACTGTGCGCGCCTACGCAGGGGGGTCTTTGGGCATTGGGCCGATCGGCCGCTACTCCAGCCTGAAACAAACTCCAGATAGTTTTCTTCTCGGGAGTGGATTAGCAGGGCAGGAGTCCTGTCCTTGTTGTTGGATTACCCTGGCAACTCAACTTTTGTTATTCAAACCAGCTTTAATCATATTCCGGTGACACCTTTGCTAATTTTCTTTTTACGCTGGCGCTATAAACGAGACCGTTTGTAAAAAGAGAACACAAAAAGAGCGGCAGCGGTAGGCATACTTCCTTACTTCAGGCATTTTGCTCGAGGCTTAAAATCATCGCCTTTTTAGTTGCATATACTTTTTATACTTCCGTTTAAGCTTCACAGATTTCATTTGCATCAAGTAAAATGCCCACAGAGAAATACATTGCCATTAAGTTGCCAATAAAATTTTTATTTGTGCCCTTGAATTTAATGCTAGAGAATATACCCAAGGAAAAGTGAAACGGATGAGGTTGTTAACTCTTTATCTGTGTTTTTGTTGAATTGTTTTCTTGTTAATAGATAAAAATATCTGAATTTCGGAGTGGTGACGTTTTTAGGTTTCACTTTATTTTTAAACATCTCTTAACACCCCCCCCCTCCTTCTGCTTTCTCCCCTCCCCCCAGTAAGGTATAGGATGTGAATATTTATCACTCTGCACACGTAAAGAATCTATTGTGCAGGCTAAAAATATATTATTTGAACAAGAGAAGACATTTGGAATGAGGTCATTTTATGTTACAATCATTTTTATGAATATTTTTGTCATAAAACACATTTAATACTTTTAGCTCTATTTGGCTAATGCAATAGAAGTTGACATAGAAGTAATGAGTTGATTTGCAAACGGCCCTTTCAAAAGAATTCCCAGCGGAGATTACAGAGAAATATCATTTCAAATGTAGTAGTAAAAACAACGGGAAAGGGGGAGTGTAGGAAGACTACTCCAATGCAAATTATTATAAAAATTATATCTGGCCTTTTAAAGATGACATTCTTTTCTTTGTAGACTGTGTATAACCCTTGCCTATGAATTTAAAATGCGTGTTCTTTTTCAACTGCCTGCCAAAGTTAAATCAGTTTCTTTGCAAAAAAAAATTTGATACTTTTTTTAAATTAAAGACGTTTTTAACTTTGATTTTTCTAAAATGCTCGTATAACGTTCTGCAAGTGTTAAGACTATGAATAAAGACAAGCATAAACAGAACAGATTTTTTTGAACGGAACAAAAATAGAAATACAAGGTGGTTTCAAATCTTAAAATACCTGGGAATATTCCCATTTGCTACTCCCGAAGGTATCTGTATGTTTGCATACAGTGGTAACTCTTTAGAAGGGGTGGTAATATCCTGATTTAATTTCCAGGCTTTTCATTATTTGGAAATCAAGAGGTAAAATATTATGTGAGTGTCTGAACAATTTGCGGTAATAATGAGGCCTAATGAGCTTGTTAGAAAGATAAAATGTTATTTACCAAAACACCTGATGGGATAATTTGACTTGCTGTGTTTTACTACTGATGATAAAAAGAATATTGATTGCAAATAAATCACCGCCTCTAAACGCTGGCAAACAATTTTCTTACATCAAAGTAAAACTTAAGAGATAAAGTAGATGCATGCATATACGCCGTAAGGATGAATCCGTTTCCATCCCAGCGTACAAGAGCTCTTTTCTAACCAGTTAATATTTTATAGCCCACGTCTGAGGTTTGTGTGTACGCGAGAAATGTCTCTCATTTTAGTGTGTTTGCAATTCAAAATCGCCTTTCTCGACTAATTTAACCTGCTCGCGAGCTACTTTTTAAGGCTGATTTGGGGCTCACTAAAGAGACTTCGGGTTTAATTGTGACATGCCCCTGGCTGTTTTGAAAATAGGCGTATTATTAGGGGGTGACATTCTCTTCGTGAGAGAGATAATCTCTGCTCATTGCTGCGTGCTTCTTTTAAACACGCGATGCAACTGACTCCTCGAGATAACTGTGAAAATATTACATTCGCATCGTTTGATTTGGTTTGCCTGGGGGCGAGGGGATGAGAGGGCTGAGAAGTGCTGGAGGTGCAGAAAGCACGCCTCACGTTTAGCAGCTCCTTGGGCAGCCCCCCTTCCCATTCCCCCCAAGAAGGGGTGTCCTTTGGGAACAGTTCTGTTCCATCTAAAGTGAGAATAACCTAGAATAGGGGTGGGGGAGAGTAAAGTTTTCCTGGAAAGACCCCGGGCTGTATTCTAGAGGCCTGGTTGTGTGCTTTGCTACATCCCTGCCCGTGCAGTGAGTGGAAAGACGCATCTCTCTTAAGAAAGGAACAAACTGCAGCAGCAACATATTCAGGTTTGTTAGAGACAGTCACAAGCGAACTCATTTTCTTTTCTCTCTGCTTGTCTAAATGTGTTGCAGGGCTCCCAGTATGAACTGAAGGATAACCCAGGTGTCCACCCTGCGACCTTTGCTGCCCACACTGCTCCTGGCTATTACCCCTACGGACAGTTCCAATATGGGGACCCAGGACGGCCTAAGAATGCCACCAGGGAGAGCACCAGCACCCTGAAGGCCTGGCTGAACGAGCACCGGAAGAACCCCTACCCCACCAAGGGCGAGAAGATCATGCTGGCCATCATCACCAAGATGACCCTCACCCAGGTCTCCACCTGGTTCGCCAACGCCAGGAGGAGGCTGAAGAAGGAGAACAAAGTCACCTGGGGAGCAAGGAGTAAGGACCAAGAAGATGGTCACCTCTTTGGGAGTGACAACGAGGGAGACCCCGAAAAGAACGAAGACGACGAAGAAATCGACCTGGAAAGCATAGACATTGATAAAATCGATGAGAACGACGGGGAACAGAGTAATGAAGAAGAGGAGGAGAAATCTGAGCTCCTGAGACAAAGCAGCGAAGATGAACATTTGGAAAAAGAAAAGGATTTGTCATTGTCAGCCTCTGAAGGTCTGAAACCCAAAGACTCTTTCTCCCTGGTAAAGGAGGCCTCTGACAACAGTACACGTATCATAACCCCCAATGGACAGAATAATTTACAGGTGCCACCGCACAGCAAACCCAAGATTTGGTCTTTGGCAGAGACAGCAACCAGCCCTGATGGCGCCCTGAAGTCTTCTCCTCCTCCTCCTTCTCCTTCTCATTCCCAGGTTAACCACACTTCCACTCAGATCCAGCATCCGGCTTTCCTCCCTAGCCATGGACTCTACACGTGCCAGATTGGCAAATTCCACAACTGGACAAATGGGACTTTCCTCACGCAGGGTTCCCTGCTAAATGTGAGGTCTTTTTTGGGAGTAAACCACCATCATGCTGCTCATCATAACCACCACCTCCAGGCCCAGCAGCAGCCTTCTGTGCTAACAACAAGCCTGGGAGCTCTAAGCAGTGAAAAGCCTACAGAGAGGACCAGTCCCAAACATATAGGTAATGCCCCACGCACGGGGAAGGCTGTTTATTTTTTTAAAATGTCCTCAGATTCACCCTTGTTGTAATTCACTGTCTTTAAAGGACTTCCACCTACTTTGGAGCTGAATTTAGCCTCTAGCCTGATAAATTATATAATTAGCGTGTTTCATGTGGAATTTTACAGTCAGTCACAGTCTAGGCACCTCAAAAATAAGTTAACATGATTGGGGAGCTCTATTTACCGTATTCCCGGAGCTTTCACGTGTTTTGTTGTTTAGTTCAAAGCCCTCGGTTTCAAAGTGTTACAACAAAAAATTGAAATGTGTCAAGAGTACCTTATAGCTGCTTTGGAACAACAAACAAGTAACACACACGTGAACTGATACATATATGTCTGCTTGGGTACATGTCAGTGTGCTTGAGTATATAATTTTCTAAGATGTTTCTTGGGTTTTCTTTCCCCCCAGAACGAGAAAATGCACCCAGGACTGAAACCCCACCTCAGCAGTTAAAATCGCCTTTCCAGCCTGTCCGTGACAAGTGAGTCACTCTTCACTGAAGGAATGTTACTTACGTGACATAGGGCGTTTGATTAACAAAGACTAATTATAACGACTACTTATCTTTATATTAATACATAAAACAAGACAGATACAGCATTTCCTGCTGTAATCCTTTCAAAAGCAGAATAAATTGCAGTTGTTCATAGCTTGTTTGTAACTTTGTAGAAACTTCACAAATCTTAAATATCTTTTGGCTTTGATGTCTTAGAAAATATTTCAGCGTGGCTAGCTAATTTTAGGCAGTTAAATCAGCAGACAGACAACCGTAGCGATGTTTTGACTAAGTCTTTTTTACTGATAGATTGTTGCGTCTTTTTGTTCCCCCTACAGCTCTTTGGCTCAGCAAGAGGGAACACCGCGAATTTTAACAGCTCTCCCTTCTGCTTGATTAAATGGGTTGGTGGAAAAACTATTTCAGAGACTGGTATAAAGGACAAAAACAGTGAAACGATGTAAACGGCTCCCATCCATCTCTCTTTGCAATAAGGTGGTGCAAATCCATAAAGGCGATTACACAAATCTGTAGATGGATCCCCTTCTCCACTGTACCATTTCAGATCGTGTTACTCTAACCATTCTTGAATTATTTGTTTGGTAAATGTTTCCCATGTGTTTGTGTTTTTTTCTGTATATAGCGTGATTTCAGATTGTAAATAGCGCGTCAGCAAAACTTGTCTAAATCATATATTTTTGTCTAATAAACTAAATGAAATTATGAAACTTCCTCAGGTATGTATTTTATTGTTGCAGAATTTAAACTTAAATTAGACAGCTAATCAAACAGGCATTGCTTTCCTCTTAAATATTAGAGGGGTTTTCCCCTGACTTTAAAAATCACTAAATGGAGGCTTTTGCTTCATGGTTAGTGAAAGGTAAATCCTCTGAGCCAAGCTGCGAATTTTCTGTTTCGTGCACGTACATTTAAAGAGTTGAGTGCAATTTTTTGTTGGCTAGCTAGATGATAATCACCCTTTCAACTAGTAAGGGACAAAAATGCTCAGACACAATCATGTCCAAAAGTGTAGGTGGTTTGATTTCTAGATACTCTATACAATTCACTTTTGAAAGTACAAAAGAGAGAAGTTTTCTCTGTTTGTTAACATATAACTTGACTAAATCAACTTGTAAATTGGATCGCCGGTAAATTATGTTTCTAGTCCATATTTTGTGCTGACTAGGAAAACAGTGGAGTAGGAAATTGTTCTTTAGTTTTGTCTGTAGTTATTCTTTAAACAACAGAAGAAATATAACTGTTGAAAGATGTTTGTATTTGACTTTTAGTAAAATCCCAATAGAAAATATGGGAAAGGAAATGGTAGCTACTATACTTTCCCAGAGTGTATGTTACAAGTTTTGTGCTTTTGGTTAGAAGGAAACAGAAGAAAAAAAGAAGGCACCAGTTTATAGAGGCATACTTTAGATTGGCATTAATCTTCCAAAGACAAACCGTTAAAATTTGTAATATTTTCAGTGTTTCCTTCTTCTTTTTTTCTCCTAAAGGAGAACACGAAATGAGCATTGAAGTGCTAATAAGCTACCAGATGGTTGTTGATGGTGGAAAATAGAAAGAAGCAGCTGGGAAAGTCATTAAGAAATAATGTGGTGACGCCTTATCCAAACTGAATCAACCTCAGAACAGGAGTTGTCTGAAACAAGACTAGATTTTGAAATAAAATATTAATAAAACCCCCATCAAGGTTCAGAATACTGGTCTGGGTGTAGCTGTAATATCATTGATTGCAAAGATGGTTTCTGTGTAAACTGCTGCTCAGACATATCGTTAGAAGATGTTTGAGTTTTATTTTAAATTTGTTAATATGGAATTATATTCTTGCAAGAACTGGTGCGGGATATGTGCGGTGCTTGAAATGTATATTGTGGTTTGTTTTCCCCTCTGGGAAAGCAGTTAATTTTGATGCACTTTGCAGGCAATTAGCATACAACCTTTTTAATGTTTTTTAAATCCTAATCAATTCTAACCTTTCTAATATTAAACTTTTCCAGTTTCAAACAAAAATAGAGCTTGATTATTTCGAAAAACTGCTGAGCATTTAAAAGGAGACAAGCAGTGAAGTATTTCATGTAAATCATCCACGTTTCTTAAAGCCAGTTACAATACCAACTAACTGTAGGTATTAAACTTGACTGGATTCCTGGGGCTCAACAGCAAGTAAATAGAAACAGCTGCAGCTTCGCTATCCGTTGTCACAGACAAACTTTTCTTGCGCTTCAAGGGGTAGCCTTGGACTCTCTGTTCCCGGATCATAACATAATTACCAGTGGTAGATCCGGATACTCAAGGAATTCAGAATCGGACCCATTTTTGGCTGCCCATTTGGCTTTCATAAACGGGCATCTTTCATTTTAAAAAAGCACACAATGCTGCTTTGTGAGACTAAGCAAACAAAGTGGTGCCAAGCTGGCTTGCGAGGAGAAGAAGGAGATTGCTTCATATTAAGGCAAGAAGGGTCTTTAATTGTTGAGAGGGGGGAGGTGCAGGCGCGCCCTCCGCCTGCACGTTGCATGTAGGAGAGTTTGGGGACTGGAAATTGGCTTTGCTTGGATCACTTGCACTTGAGCTGCCGAACTGGGGAGTCATCTTTCTTGGGAAGGCTCGCAGCGCCCTCTGTGGGTAAAAGGCTGCACAGCCACCTTCCCTGAAGCAAAAACACCCCGGGGTGGAGACAGACTCGCCCTGAGCTTTTCTAAAACAGTTTTCGAGAAGGGCGAGGGTGTGAGTTTAAGTACAAACGAAGCGCCCCAGCCGCTAGGTGATCACACGCTAGGACAGTAACACTGCTCTCAGCAGAGCCTGCTATCATAAAATAATAACTAACAACTCTGTTTCCCATCATCAACTTTGGCCCTTTTCCCTCTGAGGCTTATTGGGTTCAACGGATTATTTTCCATTTACTCTTTTGCAGATTATCGGAGGGGTTTCAACGTGTTGTGAAAACCCGGATCCGGAGCTCACAATACCCTCATGCCGTTTCCCTCCTATACAGCTGGCTCAAAGCTAGGCATGGAGGTAAATCCTCACACCTGGCCCCTGCCAGAGGCGAGAGCAGAGTCAGCCCCCGCCGACAAATTTCCCCCAATGGAACTCGTTTCATTCACTAATGAAACCAGCAATAAGACGCCCATAGCCCCCATCCCTATCGTAGGAAGAACTTTCAGCGGCGTTAGGGAGTTGCATTTCTCTGGGGTGCAGCGTGGTTGCTGGGCTCCTCAAATCAAATGATTTGTGCAATTCAGTCCAGTTGCTGTTTTAGGACTTGTCCCACGTTTACTAAAAGCAATGTGCTTCCGTTTCGAACGAAGACTGCCAACATCAGGGAAACTGACCATGAAAACCTGGTCTTTCTTGAAAATGAAATAACTCTTCTATAGATACGGCCATAATACCTGGCACTCCTGGAGCAGAAAAGAGTTAATTTGGGTTTAATACCTTGTAGGCGAAGAGGTAAATTAGGTATTTCCTCCCTTCTGGCTTTCAAAACAACTATTTTTTTTTTCAAGCGAGTTTCCATTATGTTTCTGTGTATGTGCATTTGTACATTTCATGATGTCGTTGGGGCTTTATGACAAAAGATCACACGTCTAAAGCATCGTATATTCTCTACTCTGTGTAATATATCGATTCCTTTTTTTTTGTATTCTTGTTTATCTCTGATGCGTAGAAAATACGTGCAGCGGTTGGCGGCATGTACGTTTGGCTGTCAGGTTAGAAACCCTGAAATATTGACAGGGACAGGAACTTTGGCAAAGAACTGTACTGAACCCTTACGATATTTTTAGAAATCAAATGATTAAGGAGGCGGTTTTATTTATCACGTGAGTAAGGCTAGAAAATGATCGCTTATTATGCCACTCTGCTGGGAAATATTTCGCAGTTTCGGTTATATTTTTCCACATTCAAAAAAATCCGAGTAGCAGATGCATATATGAGAATAATATAGAGTGCTGGAAACTACTGGAAGAAAACCTTAATCTTAATTGTGCTTCAAACTGCTAAAAGTAGACTGGGTAGTGGTACTTGCCGATTTTTTTTCTTTCTAGTTAATATTTACGGGACCGATCCTGATACCGATGACGTCTACAGAAACATTTCCATTATATTCAATCGGAGCAAGATCTGGTCCTAGTTTTTTCTTTTAAGGCAATCAGAAAACATGAAGACATTTCCCCTTATATCGTAAATGTGTCTGTTTTAACAATCCCTCATCTTACGGTAACAATTAATACAGGGGTGAAAATAATTATTTGGCATTTACAGAGGGTATCAGAAAACCAAAGTTGCAAAGAGAAGACGTTCCAAACTTTCTATGATCCTGAATACAACGAACTACCTCAAATGGATACACGTAAAGCAAACGGGATCTTTGTCGGGGATTTTTCTTTTGCATAGCTACACCGAGATACCAGCCGGGCGTACGCGCGTTTGTGCCTGTGTGTATTTGTAACTCTTCTAAAACAGAAGTCTTTATTTTTAAGCTAGTTTTCAGAAAAATGGGAAAAGGGAAATGCAGAGTGCCCAACCCGAGTCTTTCCCTTAAGGATCCTGTTCACTTTTAGTTACCCCTTTAGTGTTTTGTTTGCTCAGAAACTTTGACCTCTTCCAAGCCTGGAAAAGCCAAACTATAGCTGCCACTCTGCATAGCCCCTGGTTGTTAGGTGTGTTCGCTAACTAGCGTTCTCAGCCCAGTCTGTCGGAAGCTCAGTGCTGGGCTCTCACACACACGCTGACTCTAGCGAACAGTCAGAGCCGTTTCTGCGGTGGTTAGGGGGACTCAGCAAGCGGCTACTGTCCGGCTGTAATTATTGAGCGATTGAAGGCGCCTGGTCACTTTCAGGGTGTGAGCCTGTTTTCCCTTTTCTCCCGCGCGCCGATCAATTATTCCCCGGCACATTTATCTCGCCAGCAATATGGAGAATTCATATTCATATCTCTGTTTTAGCGGCCTGACACTGATTAATGTAATATGCACCCCGGCTCCAAGTGCGGCTCCACTCTATGAATCATGCACTATAAAGTTTCAATCGTCCTTGTAGCGGAGACGATTACAATGAGTTGCACGCCGAGGGGGCGGGGGAGGAGCGGCTAGCGAGAGAGCGGCTCTTTCTAGCTGCGGGCCACGGTTCCTATGTTAAACAGGCTCTTCTTTAAATAGCCCCACGACTGATTAGGAACAATAAGGGCCCTTCATTAGCTCCGGCTGGCGGGGAGGGGGGAATCCCGCTGCCGGCGGAGAATGG